GAGGGGCGGTTAAAAAATGGTGGGAGTAATGGGTGATTTTTGTGAGCAATTGTTGTTGTGTGGGCTTACTAGGTGTGGTATGGGTAGGATGGTCCTCCTCAATTCCACAGCATGAGAAGAAGAAGATAAAATCTTACTTTTTTTTTTGACAAAAGAATAAAGGCAGGTGTTAGTTCCTCAATCTTATCAACCCTCGCCCTCTCTTCCCATTTTCTTATAGTTGATTTAAAATTATTGATTTTAGCCACGTGCATTTCATTTGTCCTTTTCCCTATATATATATATATATATATATTTATATGTATAAAGCAACATTGAGTTTACAAAATTTAGAAAAATTAAACTATGATCTTTTATTGATAATAATGAATAATTAAATTTGCTCTGGTCTCAAAATAGAGTCAAAGTCGACACTATAAAAATTATTATAAAAAAATTGTGATAATTTTTTTATCACTAGAAACTAATATACAAAAAATCAGTTCAATTTGAGTTATGAAATATTCAACAATCTACCTATAAGGGTAATGTTGAAAACAAAAATAAATTTGACACTCAAAAACTTGATTTTAAGGCTTTCGACAATAGAATTTGGTAAAAAAATTATAAGTCACAAGCAAAAAAGTATGTGTGTGTCTGTGATTTGCACATGTGGTTGTCTTCACTGTCAAAGCCTCTTGGTTCAGGAATCAACATAATTTTTCATGTAACAAACTTGATGATGAGGAAGAATTGATGATGTTACTAATACTCCACATAATTTATACAGTAATTTATACATTGCTATACAGGTTACTCTTTCACAGCAACACATTATATTGTGGGACACTGACGTTTGTATATTTAAAAAATAATATATTTTTTAAAGTCGAAAGATGCCAGCTAAGCAAAATTTGAACCTAATCTTGTGAAATCATTCTTAACATTATGGTATGAGGTTCATATTCTCACTTACATAATAATTATATATATATACATATATAATTATATGCACTCATTTGCTTTTAATATCTTAGATGAAATTATCTTCCCATTCCAATATGACTCGTGAATTTAATGAGAACTCGTGACATCAAATGACAAAAGCATATAAAAGTTGTATTCCAATAAGGTGCTGGACTCTTGTTTCCAATGCCTGCGGAGTACAGACTCGCAATGAATGATGAAACTGTAGATGTGTGTGCGTGCGTGTGTGTGTGTGTGTGTGTGTCTCTCTCTCTCTATATATATACATAGCACGTTATATGGTTTATATGATAACTTGCTTGCAATGAATATTGTTGTCATATTCTAATTAATTATTTATGATATATGAATATGTTAAACCATGAATCTATGATTCTTCATTTATTTATTTGAAATTGAATGTGAAATGCTTGTGGGGGGTATTGTGGAAAATCAATATTAAAACAACCAAAATATGCTGGCTAATAATTATGAGAAGAATTCACTGCTTTGAAAAAAGAAAAAGGATAATTATGAAAACAATTTAGTTTTATCAAGGAATTGCCATTTTTAGAGCTATGATGCAGCCATTTTGAATTACATTAAATATACAAGTGCTCAAATTTGCAAGTGAAAATATTCGGCGTGTAACTAAATTGGTGATGAAGGAGAAGAAGATACAAAGGAGCGTGAGTCAAGGCTCTTGAGAGAGATGTTATGTCATATAGGGGGATGGAAGGAGAGTTAAGTCACATAAAGCGAATTTGGGAGTGAAAGTATATAAGCGGCATAATTAAGTTATAAATAGTAAGAATTTGAATAAGAGTGCAAAACGTGAGAGTGATACTGTTGAAAATGATCATGTGACTTAGAGAGATAGAGTAAAGCATTCCTTGTGAGAGTAATGTTGAAAAATAAAATTAAATTTGAATTGATTAGAAAAGGAATTATTTGTCTTGATTTTTTTTTATTTTTAGGACTTGATTGTCTTTCACTTTCAAGAGTAAGACTATCAAAGAATTTTCCCATTCAAATATTCATTATATTTTTCTTAATTTATATATTAGTATATTATATTTAAAATGAATTTATATTTAGGAAAATGTAATTGTTTAGAATTGGAATATCACCTTTCATTGTTTTTGGCATTGATTTAGTTACGACTTACGGGTCTATTGATGTTGTATTATCTCTCCTTCATCTTTTCCAAAAAAATATTCTCCCTCTCTCTCTTCTTTATTCTTATCTTAAATAAGTCATGGTCTTTGTTTTTCTTTTAACCTGACCGTTCTCTCTCGTCTTTTCTATATATAGGGTTTTTGGTTATATTTTTCTAACTCCATTAATATCCATGCTTATAAATTTATATATATTCTTTTCCATTACCATAGCCGGTAAAAGTTATATGTCTTGCAATCACATTTACATGGTAAAAAACATTCATTTTTCGTGTGAAATATTCGCCTAGTGGGAATGAGCAAGGAGAGAGAGAGGGAGAATCATTTTTTGGATAAGATGAAGGAGAGATAAAGATGTTAAACGTGTTACAGTTTTCAAACTTTATTTGAATTAGTAGATAGATTTTAAATGTCAATCAATAAAGAATTCAACTTAAAATTAGAAAATCCAAGTCCTCTATTATTTTCTGTTGAACAATGCCAATTTAATACTCCCTATGTCCCATTGTTTTTGGCATTGATTTAGTAACCAGTCTATCGATGTTGTGTTTGTGTTTTTCTTCACGAAGTACCAAAAGTATAATTTATGCCGAACAATATCAATTTAATACTCCCTCTTCTCAAAAAAAAAAAAAAATAATAATAATAATAATAATAAAAAATCTCTTTTCGGATTTGTGTCTCACAAATAAAAAAAAAAAATACATTGACTAACATTCTCTATTAAAATCATTATAAATTGAATAAGGTATTTTATAAATGTTCATGTGAAATGCTTTGACTAACATTCTCTATTAAAATCATTATAAATTGAATAAGGTAAATAAATGTCCTCCACTTTTCTTTTTCTTTTTTATAAATGTTCATGTGAAAAGTCAGCAGGCTACTTAATTTAATCCATAAAAATTTAATACGAAGTAGCATTTAAGTCATTTAGTTTTATTTTTCTAACAAAAAGGGTGTCTAATGAGTCTAATCCGCTTAATTCATTTGACTAGCGTTCTTTGTTCAACTGTGTCAGAAAAATTATTATAAGTAGGTAATAAATGCACTTCACGTTGTTTTTTTCGAAGTTAAATGCACTCCACTTTCTTATAAATGTGTTACACTTTTAATATGAAATCATATTATGATGCTTGATTTAATTCATAACAAATAAATATAAAAAGGTGCATTTACATAATTGAGTTTAAAAAAACAAAAAAAAAAGAAATGCATTTATAAAGAAAAAATGGTTATATTTGAATGCATTGACTAGCACTCTCTATTAAATTGTTAGGTTTGAAAATTATTAGTGTATAAATTAAAAAAGATAATAAATAAATGTACTTCACTTTTAACATGAAACAATATTAGAGTCCTTGATTTAATTCACAAGAATTAAATATAAAGGAGCATTTCTGGCATTTAGTCCTTTAAAAGAAAATAATTTATAAAAAAATGGTCCAGCAATATTCTCTATTAAGTTGTTCCGAATGAAAATCATTATAAATAGGTGGTAAATGTCCTCTAAATTTTTGTACCGTCTCTTTCTCATATTAGTAGTTCACTATTTTTATTTTGGATATTTCAAATTAATTATCTATTTTCATTTTGAATATTTCAAATTAGTTATCTATTTAAAAGAGTCAAAGTAAATAAATGTTATAATTTAATTATTAATATTTATACTTTCAAAAAAATTCAAACTTCATAATTATACATATTTAAACTAAAAAGAACAAATTATTAATTTGAAATTGGGAAAATATATTAATTGAACATTCCCTTAAAAACCTCTAAGTCTAAACATGGGGAGAGTGAATGAGTAATTGTTGTCCCACCTTTAATGTAAATCGCCATTATGATCTTGAATTTAATTCATACAAATTAAATATAACGAAGCATTTAAGTCGTTTAGGTATAATTTTTTTTTTTTAAAAAGAAATGCATTTTAAATAAAAATTTATAATTTGGTGCACTGATTCTTATCTGCTTAATGCATTGACTAACTTTGTGTGTTAGGTTTAAAAATCATTATAAATGGAAGGTAATAAATACACTCCGCTTTTTTTATAAATGTGCTCTGTTTTTAAAGTGAAACGATATTATGGTCCTTGATATAATTCATGAAAATTAAATATAAGAGGGGCATTTATGTTATTTAGTTTAAAAACACACATTTATACGAAAATGATCTTTATCCATTAAATGACATTCTATTTTTAATAAATGCACTCTACTTTTAATATAAAATAATATTATTGTCTTTGATTAAATTAACGACAACTAAATTTAAAAAAGCATTTATGACATTTACTATCTTTAAAAAGAAAGAGCTGCATTTAAAAAAAAAAATGGTTTAGTGTCTTATTCAATGCATTATCTGTTAAACTGTTAAGTTTGAAAATCATTATATATTTATATATTTTAAGAAATTATTATAAGTAGATGAAATTAATAAATGCACTTCACTTTCTTATAAATGCGAAATATTTTTAATATGTGACGATGCTATGGTTTTAATTTAATTCACGAGAATTAAATAAAAAGGACATTTACTTTATTTAATTTAAAAAGAAAAGAAATACATGTATAAAAATATAAAATATGCATTTAAATTGATACTGGGCTTCAAATTTAGTCTCTACACTTCACTCATTTAATTGAAATTATAAACAATGAATTAGTGGAGGTTTTTTGTGGAGTGCTTAATTATTGGCATCTCCTTATAAAGTTCATATAATCATAATACATAATCACGGAGTAATCTTCTTTCATGTAATTACAAATTCCAAAACTTCTGCATATATATATATATATACATATATATATATATATATAGAGTGCATTCTAGAGAGGGAAGAGAGGACAAAGAAATAGCCGCGGATCTGAATCAGACTGATTTCCGTGCTTTCTTCTTTTCAAAAGGGTTGAAAAAACGTTACATTTTCCTTTTCTCACTGTCCTTCAATCGATAAAATTTTGAGAGAGTGAGAGAGTGTGTGTGTGTGTGTGAGAGAGAGAGAGAGAGAGAGTCAACCAAGGTAACCTTTTGTGTGCAGTGCGTTTTGGTTGTATGTATGTGTGTAAGGCTTCGAATAGTCCACACATTGCGTATTTTATCTTCACCTTTTCCTCCTCTGTGCAAATCAAATCAACTTTTAAGGCCTCTCTCTTTTTCTGCTAGCTTTTCTAGGTCTTCTCTTCTGCTCATGAAAACCAATTTCAGCTTTATAGCATGCAGAGAAAAACAAGATAGACCCCCTAGGGTTTTCCTAACCCATTTCTGATTTTGTGAGAAACTGAGTTTTAGAGAGAGAGAGAGAGATAGAGAGAGGGATAGAGAACGAAGAGCTAAGCAGGACTAAAGGGATTTTTGCTTGCCTTTTTTCTCTTTCTTTCTCTCAGAAAAAAATCCAAACTTTTTTTTGCCCCTCACTCAGAGGAAGTTGGAGACATTAGGATTTAACTATCCTTGTGTCTCCTCTGCCTCTCTGTCTCTCTTTTCATTTTACACACATATATCTACTGTGTTTTGGTGTGTGTAAACGTTGGTATTATACTTTCTATCATTTTTTTTTTTTTTCCTGTGTTTTTCTTACTTTTTGTTTCTGGGTTTTGCGATTTCTGGGTTGTTCATTGTTCTGAAAAGCTTGAGGGATGATTTGGAAATGAAGTACTGAATCTATCTCTGCAATCGTTATATATAGCCATTGATATATATATATATATATACACATAGAAAGAGAGAGTCTTTAGAGAGAGAAAAAAACAAGTAGGTAAGGTGTGGAGTTGCTTATTAAAGAGAACACAAAAAAAAGAGTTTTTTCATGAATTTTGGGGGCTTTCTTGACCACACTGGTGGTGGCGGCGGCGGTGCAAGAATCGTTGCGGATGTACCTTACAACCACCACCACAACATGCCCAGTGGTGCAATTGCTCAGCCCCGCCTTCTCTCTCCCTCTCTTGCCAAGTCCATGTTCAGCTCTCCAGGACTCTCTCTTGGTCTTGTAAGTACTCTCTAACACAGACACAAACACACATATATGTATGTGATTGTTCTGTTGATTTGATTTTGTTATTTTATATACCCTTTTGTTTAAACTGATCTGGGTCTTGTTTTTTTGGCCTTTTGATGAATTTTTTTTTTTTTTTTTGGCATTTCGATGAGAAGGAAACGAGAATGGAGGGTCAAGGTGATGTGAAAAGAGTTCTTGAAAATTATGAGCCAAATGTTGGTAGAAGAAGCAGAGAAGATGAGCCTGAGAGCAGATCTGGCAGCGATCACATGGATGGTGGCGCGTCCGGGGACGACCAGGACGCTGCCGACGACAAGCCGGCGAGGAAGAAGAGATACCACCGACACACCCCACAGCAAATCCAAGAACTAGAGAGGTAAGATTTTGCTCAATTGAAGTAAAAATTTTATGTTTTTCATTCTCCGTATATCCACCAAATTTGAGTTGTGTTTTGTTGTTTGGTTTAGTCTTTTTAAGGAATGTCCTCATCCTGATGAGAAACAGAGGTTGGAACTAAGCAGAAGGCTTTGTTTGGAGACTAGACAAGTTAAGTTTTGGTTTCAAAATCGTAGAACTCAAATGAAGGTAATAAAAAGTCACGATTTTTGTAGTGATTTATGTTTTTTATGTTCTTCTATAGTTGTTGACTAATGGAGTTGTTATGAAATTTCATTGCTTGATCTAGACTCAATTGGAACGCCATGAGAACTCGATTCTTAGGCAAGAAAATGATAAGCTTAGAACCGAAAACATGTCTATTAGGGATGCTATGAGGAGCCCCATTTGCACCAACTGTGGTGGTCCGGCAGTAATTGGTGACATTTCTTTAGAGGAGCAACACCTTAGGATCGAGAATGTGCGTTTAAAGGACGAGTTAGATCGAGTTTGTGCACTTGCAGGCAAGTTCTTAGGCCGCCCCATTTCATCTCTGGCTACTTCTATAGCAATACCAAATTCAAGCTTGGAACTTGGGTTTGGAAGCAATGATTTTGGAGGATTGAGCACTGTGGAGTCTGATTTTGGTGTTGGGATTTCAACACCTTCATTGGTGGTGCCTCCAACTACAGCAGCAAGTACCGGTGTAACGAAGATTGAGAGATCGCATGAGGGTTCCATGTATTTAGAGCTTGCTTTGGCTGCTATGGATGAATTGTTTAAGATGGCACAGACTGATGAGCCCCTTTGGGTCAGGAGCTTAGAGGGTGGAAGGGAATTACTGAACCAGGAAGAGTACTTGAGAACATTTACTCCTTGTATTGGATTAAAACCAAATGGTTTTGTCACCGAGGCTTCAAGAGAGACTGGTATGGTGATCATCAACAGTTTGGCTCTTGTTGAGACATTAATGGACTCGGTGAGCTACATAACTTCTTTGGTTCTCTTTAATCTCCTTTTCCATAATTCTGTTTTTAGTCATTTAAATGTGTACTGCCAAATTTCAATAGTTAAGATACTCCGGCCTGATTTTGGATTGAAGTGCTTGTTGTTTCTTGGCCTCTCTAAGAATTAAATTCACTTGTGACAATGACATTGATATTTGTTTCCGACTTTCCTTGTATTTATAATTGTGTGAATTTAGTATGAAATATTTTGTTCTTATATTCTTGGGTGATTAATATGAGTTGCTTGATGATTGTTAGAATCGATGGGCGGAAATGTTTCCTTGTATGATTGCCAGAACTTCTACTACAGAGATGATTTCTAGTGGTATGGGGGGAACGAGAAATGGTGCACTTCAACTGGTAATGTCACCTATGCTTCCACAATTTAGTATTCTTTTAGTGTTTCTAAGTCATTGCTTTGTGTAGAAATTAATTAGCCGTTCTATTTTTTTACTAGATGCATGCGGAGCTCCAAGTCCTTTCACCTTTGGTTCTTGTTCGCGAGGTCCATTTCCTCCGCTTCTGCAAGCAGCACGGGGAGGGGGTGTGGGCTGTGGTCGATGTGTCCATTGATACCATCCGAGAAACACCAGGTGCACCAACATATGTCAGATGCAGGAAGCTTCCTTCTGGTTGTGTCGTGCAAGATATGCCTAATGGGTACTCAAAGGTACTAAAAATCTTCAAGAACACACTTTTAATCTGTTTGTTACAATCCAAATCTTTTTCTTTTTCCTTTTTTTGTAACATTTATTGAGCTTCTCAAGGTGGGTATTCATAACCTTTAGTCTTTAATGAGTTTGTTGAAGTAACTACTACTTCGGAGCTTTGTTGAGGCTATTTAATTGAAAAAAACACCTAGTCAAAATCGAGAGCAAAATTGCAGTCCCTAGCTAGTTGACCTAATGCATTGAAGAGTTTTGTTTGTCTAGTGATCACTCACTAAATCACTACAATCGCGGTCATGCGTATGGTTGCAATTTAATATACTAATGATTTTCTCAGCGAATCTGGACCTCCTTAAACATTAATTTATCCCCCTAGATGCTTCTTCTTTGACAAATCATATTATAACGTTCAATTTTCAAGAACTCGGTTTGCTTGCGATTGGTTTAAATTTTTTATAATAGCACCGTACACAAGTAAATTGAGGTAACCAGCATTATTTATTAATGGAAGCGTCTATTATCTGCACCACGGGACACATTTATTTCATATCATTTAGATGAAAATGCAGTGTAATCTTCAACATTGGTTAAATAAAATATACATTTGATGTTTCTATTCCTATCTTTGATGCTGTCTCGATCATCCCATTTAGCTATATTTAATTCCTGTAACTGCATTATTTTGTCTGGTCTCATGAGGTGGTTTGTTTTTATATTAAATGAAGACATTGTAGTCAAACCCCAAGACGGGCTATTTTGTTGTCATGTGAGTATCTAAATCTTGTGTATTGACTTCTACTACTCATCTCTAGGTTACAGTGTTCCTTCAAATCGCTGAAAACTTCATTTGCATACCAATATTTTATGTTTCTTTCATTAGGGTTTTTTTGGTTATATCATGTCTCATTGAGCCCAGTCCTGGCCATTTCCTAGAAATTCAAGATTTGAAAACCATGACCGGTTTTCCATTCGATTTTTTTTCCCTTTGTTTTCTCTCTACCGATCTCAAAACTTTTACTTAGGACTTGTGAGTTAAGACCCAAAGTCACTGGGACAAAGATGGACGAGTTTTTCCATTAGATGGAATGCGTGTATTCCATCTTAGGACAAGTTTTTTAGAGACTAGCTTGTATATGTATGTATAGCTTATAAATTTGAGTATAAAATAACTATAGTGCTGAAGCTCGAATCCAGAGGCTCGAATCCAGAGAGTGCACATAAAGTTGTGTATTTTGACTTTAATCATTACCAAATTAAAAGTTTGTTCGACTTTAGTGGTAAACTATTAGGTGGTAATGGACTTGAAATTGACTTGACCATCAATTAATATGCAGGTTAAATGGGTAGAACATACAGAATATGAAGAGAGTGCAGTTCACCAGCTCTACCGGCCCTTGATCAGCGCTGGCATGGGCTTTGGTGCCCAACGATGGGTGGCCACCCTTCAAAGGCAATGTGAATGCCTTGCCATCTTAATGTCGTCCACTGTACCCTCGAGGGATAATACTGGTACATATCAACCCACTAAAAAGTTTCATATCAATCTTGTGATTAAAAAGCTTATATTTTTGTAATCAAATTGCATTCACATGCAGCTGCTATAACTGCCGGTGGGCGGCGAAGCATGTTGAAGTTAGCGCAGCGCATGACGGACAACTTTTGTGCCGGGGTGTGCGCTTCCACGGTGCACAAATGGAACAAGCTCTCTGCTAGCAACGTGGACGAAGATGTCCGGGTCATGACCCGAAAGAGCGTGGACGATCCCGGTGAGCCACCTGGCATTGTGTTGAGTGCTGCAACTTCAGTTTGGCTGCCTGTATCCCCACAGAGACTGTTTGATTTTCTACGTGATGAAAGGCTTAGAAGTGAGTGGGACATTTTGTCGAACGGTGGTCCAATGCAAGAAATGGCCCACATTGCTAAAGGTCAAGATCATGGCAACTGTGTATCCCTTCTCCGTGCTAGTGTAATCTCTCTTCCCTCCCGCTATATACAACTTGAATATATATATATATGTATATATATATTATTATTTTTTATAAGTTTCACTTGCATCTCCTATCTATTTTATATTTTCAAATATGTTGAAATTTAGATTACATGTGATGAGAGTAGATGCAAAACACATTATTTCTTATTTCAACTTTTAGATTAGCACCGGAGGATCCGGATTTTAGGTAATACGGGGTAATATTTATATATTGTGTATATATATATATATATTTTTGTGTTTCAAGAATAAATGGTATAATGGAGCGTGTATCCTTTATCTGTAAGGCGATAAAGTTGGTTCTGTATTGGCAAAAGTTGAAATCTAAAAGGACAAGATTGGTATTTGGAAGTATCAATAAGGACAGTTCGTTCTCTGTATTATTATTACTATTAGACCCTTCTCCATTTAACTTTTTCCTTTACAAATGTGAAAGTCAAAGCACAAGACACTTGTAATCTTTTTGGGCATGTCACGTCATCGATTTGATGAGGTTGACTCGATTTACACCGTAACGACGCTGACGTGTGTGTATATATATATATATAGTGGAGTGGCATTTAACGCAAATAATAAGAATATTGAGCCCTTTTTTGTTTCATTGCAGTCCAATAACTCGAACCAGAGCAGCATGCTGATACTGCAAGAGACATGCATAGACGCGGCGGGTTCGCTTGTGGTGTACGCGCCGGTGGACATTCCGGCCATGCACGTGGTGATGAATGGTGGCGATTCTGCCTACGTGGCACTCCTTCCCTCCGGATTTGCCATAGTCCCTGACGGCCCAGGCTCTCTTGGGCCGTCCTGTAACGGCTCATTATCCAAAGAAGAAGGCCCACAAAGGGTGAGTGGGTCACTGTTGACCGTAGCCTTTCAGATCCTGGTGAATAGTCTCCCTACGGCCAAGCTCACGGTGGAGTCGGTTGAGACCGTCAACAATCTCATCTCGTGCACGGTTCAGAAGATCAAAGCCGCTCTTCAGTGCGAAAACTAATAGGGTAGTTCCTCTGCTGTGTTGTAACGTGTGAACGGTCACGATCATTCACACGTATAACACTGTTTGCTGTATTGCAGAGGATTCGAACTCGATGTGGTCACTAAAATGATAATTACTATGTTACTTTTATTTTGTTGTAATGTTGTAGTTATAGACTTGAGGGTAAAGAACTAAATATATATTATGCATACAGAGAGAGTGCGAGTGTTGTGGCTGTTGTGTGGGCTTTAGAGAGTGAGATTGAGCTTTAGGGGTGAGTCAAGAACGAACCGCGATTGAACTCTGTCCTTGCAGGGTGGTTCTGAACATAATGCAGGGGTAGTGGTTCGGGTATTGACTCAGGTCGACCCGTGCTCAATAGATGAAGAAAGCATGAAAAAGGTAGGGGTTTTTTTGGTCATAAACTAGTGCTTTTAACGTTTTTTCGTTTCGACTGTTATATGATGTAGAAAGCTAATGTTTTGGGTGATGATAATGAAAAGCTTTTATGGTTCTATACGCATCAAAATTACTAAAGTACCCTTTACGTTTACTTGTATAAATTATATGGCTTTGCAAATGGTATTTGAAAGAGAGATTGAAGTTGAGGATAGTGTAAATGTATACTCCCTTCGTCTTATAAAATAAGTATCATATTTTGACCAATGATTTATAAATGAGTTCCGGTATCAGAGGAATATGATGTATGATCAAAACATGTCATTTAGGTCCTGTTTAGTATGCGTTATGTTATTATTTTTGGATTGTTACAATGTCGATTTTGATAACAAATACATGTTATGTTTTTTGGCGTAATTTTATTTTATTTTACAGTATTAAAACATTTTGAGAACAATAATTCAAAATTAAAGTATTAAAAAGTTATATATATATATATATACACTTTTTTGACAATTATCTATGGCCTAAAATAGCATATTATTTTTGATATTTTTATAATAAAATATTATTTCTAAACGTATTTCTAATTTTAAAAAAAAAAATTATAATAAAAATATTGTTTCTTTTTGTTGTTTTACTGTTTCAGTCCGAAGTAAAACGTTTAAAATAAAATCGCATATCAAACGAAACCAAAGAGGTAGGAGTATGATGTGATTGAGGGGATAGTGGTGAAGAGTAGGGTCAGCTTTGCATTAAATGAGTGGTGCATAGTCTGTTGGGAGAAAATGTCTTTTCTTTTCTTTTTGCATTAAATGCTGAAAACTAATAATCCAATGAGAATGTACTTGGAAAAACTGAGGGGTTGAAAATGATTTTGGAGGCCATGACACAAACGCTTGAAATGATTTCGTATATTTTACTTCGAAATTTGGAATGACTGTAAATTTTTAATTTTTATATTAGAAGAACTAATATATGAAGAACTGATATATCTTTCAATCTTTTATCTAAATAACTAAATTATAAAAATAACCTTTAACAATCCTTTTGGACATAAAACTGCTGGGCTTTGATGAAAAAAACATTGAACCTTTGCCAGTGGTGTATCTTTTCTGTTTTGGAATTTCAAAAATGAATATATTATTTTTTATAATACTACCAAACTATTTTTTTGATATTTACTTCATTAAACAATTATACAAATTACAGGCTAATCCTTTGTCTTTTAATAAGAATAAATTTAAAAATTCATTTTTATCAATACAATAAAAAAAATTAAAAATCTACCACCATCAAAAGTTGGATTTCCAAAGCACTCTAAAAATTTTGGGACCCAAGTATATATTTATACCCTAAGCAATACATATACTTCGGGTTTGTGAAATTTAAGTTTCCTGATAATAATTTTCTACATTTTGAAAATTGAAAATTTGAAAATCATACAAAAATTTATTTGGTTGACAATTATGAGAACGGTTTTTGAAAATTCAGTTTTATAATTATTTAACCCAAATTTTTTTTTTTTTTTGATGAGGTGGGAACCTCGTAACTACCCCGGCTATCTATCTTGACCCCACAATACGAATAACAAATAAATAAAAAACTTATAGAGTTAGAGAAGAATCTAAACCACTTCCAAACAAACCCTCCATTTGTTGGCTTGGTTAAGAATTGGAATAACTTAATGGGAACAGGACCAGGTTTGGGTGGACTTAATTTGCCATGTTCATTGTTTATACCCTCTAATTCTATCATTTGACCGTGAGCTTTCTTTTTCAACTACTACTGTCTTCATCCATTATATACATGACTTGGGGTGACTGTAAGAGGGAGATATATTGGAACTTAGTCACTTATATTCAACATGTTCATCTGCTTCTGACCATTCTACCATTGACATCCATACTCAATTTGTGCCCCCCTTCTTCCTCAAATATTGACTTATATCTCTTGTTTCTTAATAGCCCTGCAAAAGTACGTGGATGTGTGTATGCACTGACACATAGTCACGCAAAATACCAGGCGGTCTACTTTTGTTTTGGTGGTTTGAATCTTAACTTTTAAAAGTACCATAGAAAAGAAAAAAAAGGGAAAGAAATTATAACATTAATTAGGAAAGAAAAAAATAAAAAAATATATTGTTAATTATTTATGACGAATGATTTAATAGTAAAAAGAATGAGAGTAATTATATTTGAGAAAAGAAATTAAACGAAACTATTTAAATAAATTTACTGTCATATTCTTTTTCATAAATGTTGTCTTTTATAAAAAAAATAAGGACAAATTCGATATTAACAAAGTTTTATTAAAAATGTTAGTCATTCTTTCCATTTCTTTCCATTTCCTCCAATTTTTTTAGAGGATTGCAAAATTAATATTTCAGGCTTAATTTGTATTCTTCCAAACTCATACATTTCCTTTCTTTTCCTTAATTATACCAAATACACTATTTAATTTCCATCTATTATCTTTCTTTTCTATTCCTTTCTTTACCCTCCAACCAAACTGGGCCTAATTCGAGATTTTAAGACTAACAGAGAGAAGAAAGAGAAGTCGTGGTAAAATATAAAACATATAAAAATAAGTATGATAATTTTTTGTTAATTTCACCATTTTACAACAAAATGATAACAAAATTTCATATAAAAATAAGTATGATAATTTTTTGTTAATTTCACCATTTTACAACAAAATGATGCATAAACAAAATTTCATATAAAAATAAGTATGATAATTTTTTGTTAATTTCACCATTTTACAACAAAATGATGCATAAACAAAATTACCTACATCTAACACTCCTTAAATCATGCATTGGCGAGAATTTTGTGCATTGAATTAGTCTTTTTTTACTAGCAAAAAAATAAAACAAGTCAAACGACCAATAATGCAAATAAAAAGTTTAATATTTTATTTTAAATGGAGTGTAGCAATCGTTGATGTGTATTCTACTTTTCAAAGTGCAATGCATTCAACAAGACAGAAAAATTAAATGGTTTGAATCACAACACAAAACAACAAAGTTTTCATTGTAGCAAGTGTTTTCTATTTCTCAAGTTCACAAACACCGTTCTTAATTTAAGTTGTGCATACACACCCTTGGGCCCACTATTTGACATCTTTTTAGCTCTGGGCTCAGGCCCAGACTTTAACCACCATATCCTTACCTCTATCAGATCTTTGTATATATGTGTGTGTAATACACACACACATGTATTACAAATAAATTTATTCAGGTAGGTGTGGTGTGGATGGAGGGCAGTAAAGTCAAAAAAAAAGGATATTGCTATTGCTATTCAAATGCGGGAAAGGGAAAGGTAGCTGGGCCTGGGAGTGATTGTTTTGGACCTTTTAATCGCGCCATTAGTCTCTCATCTATCATACTCACTCAAGTCCCTCTAAGTCTACCTATTCGACAGAGCCTAGACAGGGTCGCACCCCCAAGTTTCTAACCCACCTCACATGCGAATGATGCAAGTGGGTTCCACCAACCACCCTCAATCTTAATCAAAACTATGTGTGTGTGTGTGTGTGTGTGTGTGTGTGTGTGTGTGTATATATATATATAGGTTTGATCAAATGTTCTACCGTCTTATGATAATGGCCTTGTGGTCAGGTCGGTACCACTTTTTCCTACTATCATTCATTATTTGATTGAATGATGTATTGGCCTTTTCTAAGAGTTCATAAGAATATATGTAGTTTCGTGTACCACTTTACATTACTATGTGTCGACGGTACTTGTGTACTTTTGTTCTTGGTAATGGTTGGTAAATGTGTTGAAATACTGTGTACAAAAACATTTTTGGGTGATTTATGGTAAAATATTAATTTCAGAATAATGATTATTTAGCCGAAAAAATCAGTCCAAATGAAAAGTGATTAAGAAGATAGCCAAAAAAAGTAATCCTTAGAGTCGAGACTAGGAGGAATGTAACAAATAAGTGCTTGGGCCAAAATTATTAAACATGCCTGCCCCCTTCGCAGACACCATTATTGCTTTCATTGCCGAACTTATTCTAATTCCAAGAACTCGGATCGGGAAAAAAATTAACACTTAAGTCGATATTTTATTCATTCAATTTTCATTCTTTACAGTGACAAGACTTGAATTAGAAGCATGTCTAGTAAAGTAACGTCTAATACGCCAGCAACTCCTGTCATATGAAATTGGGACCGGGTCAGGTGAATTCAATATCATACTGTTATCATGTTTGAGTTCTTTACAATAAGAGAGATTATAGTTGTAGAATTCATAATCTTTAAAATAAATATTTTATTATTTTGTTTGTATTAATGAGATGGTATCATTAACTAATTAAATATTAATACGTAATGATTGAATTCACTTAAAAAAAACTTTTATTTATATAATTAGAAAAAATTAATTAATAGCATGAATAGCAATGCAAAGATGTCTTTCTAGAACTTTCAACCCTTAGATATTTAAAAATTTATGAGTAACTAACTATATGTGTTGAAATTTATGTAATATCTAATGCATTAATTGAAGTGGGGTGGACAGAGTGTACCCCCCATGAAATTCCAAATACTGAGAATGAGAGGTTGGTGGGTGGAGGCACATTTAATAAGAGGACTTGAAGCAAAAACCATTCGGTGCAATTAATGACTTAAAAGGGCCATTGTGAACTTACTTGAAAACCAAAATCTAATATTTGCTCCAAAAGTGTGATCACTGGTGACTAAATACGACTAAAGTAGTATATATAACCTCCTCTTTGTGTTCTCTATCTCTCTATATATTAACATTTAAAAAGAAATAATAATAGGGAGATCGATGAATTAACTTAAAATAAGTATTGAATTTGACGTGTTTTTATCCACCTCATCTATATAAATAATTTTTAAAAATAATTATTTAACATATAATAAGAATGACCAACCACGTTAAATTCGATACTAATTAATTCGGTAATTTCTTTTCGGTTCCCTTATCATAACTCCTTAAAAATTAACTATTCACGTGAATATGTGTGAACGGTATCATTGGAGAAGTCCACATATGCTCTTGTAAGTATAATGGGTTGTTGACTTTCACGATGAATGTAATTTTCTAAATATTTACATACGTTTATGAATGAATATACAAACTTGTTTATAAAAAAAAAAATGACAAGATAGTGATACTCTAGGTATGAGCTATATATATGAACACATTCAACTTTTAAACGTATACATACATTCTAACATATTGATGTAAACATGCAAAAGTACAATTTCTTCTTTCGGTGGTATCCTGGAATTCACATGCATTTCTGTCCTTTAGACAGAAGAATTGGACCACACCATCTTTTATCATACATGTAATGTTTCATGCACATGCAATACAACTCTTGTTACCCATCCATGCATCAATACATAGTCTATAGAATAATATATGTATCTATACGTATGGATGGTTGGAGACCAAACAAAATTTACACCAGACAAAGTAATTAAATAGATTTTAAAATATTAAGTCTAAGAGAAGACATAATATACAATAAGAAAGAAAATGATTCCTGAACCAAAGATTTCAACCGAAATCCTTGACTGAATCATTTAGATTCAAATGGTGAGAGGTACTGAATCGGTTAGATGCAATTTGCGAGAGAATTCATCTTACCGACCCATAAATAAAAGCAAGAATGATGATTATGTTAAAATAGTGGTATTGTGTACCCAAAAAAAAAAAATCCTTGAATAATTAATTATTTTATTGGGCATCGATTCAAAGCTCTTTCCACCATGTTTTTTGAAATCCATAAAGGCTCTTCTTGTTCCGACCAATAAATTGGCCCACTTTGTAATGATTCAGTTTAGAATTAAGCCCAATTTGGCCCGTTTATGAATGTTCCAGCTCAGTTTGGCTTCTTTTTGTTGTGGATAATGATACAGTTTTAGAGTTCAGCCCAATTTGGCCCGTTTATGAATGTTCCAGCCCAGTTTGGCCCTTTTTGTTGTGGAAGGTAACCAAAATGTTAAATAGAAACTTCCAATTTCTTTTTAACACACAAATTATTAATCCTATTAATAAAGCATTGGTTTTAAAAGTAGAGTGGTTTGGAAAACAAATTTATTTTGAAACTGGTAAGAGAAATTCAATAAAAAGTTTGTGAAACTATTCATACTATTATTCTAATAGCTCTCTATTACACCCCATAACTGCATAAATTACTACCTTAGAAAAAATGGATGACGAGGCAACTAGTGAAATGAGTCATATGACATGTTTTATGGATGACGAGGCAACTAGTGAAATGAGTCATATGACATGTTTTATGATATTTAGAATTATTAAATTATATATCCTTTGGGGCCATTATGATGCATATGGGACGGCCCTTGGTAGTTAATTATGGGATGTTCTAAGATGTTCGATATCATTGAAAAAAAAACAGAGAAGTAAATACTATTTAATTTTTTACATAATTACTCAAAACAAAAAAGTAACAATTGGACAATGGGTCACTCAATGTAAAATTGGTCTTAAAGACCTCCAATATCAATGGTTCAAAACAATTTTCCATAAATATAAAACATTGAAGGGAGACTACTGACGTATTTGGAAAACAAATAAATGTTTTGGGAGAAACAAAAGGAGGTGGGGAAGGTGAAGGAGAGCACTTTTTCATAAAAAGTCTACATTTTTTCTTTCTATAAAAAGTGGATGGAAAAGGAGAGAATTGGAAAAAAAAGTATCCAAAAAAAGAACTTTTAAAGCACCTTTGATTTAATCTACTATGTCTTGTTTGGCACAAGAGATATACAGTTTTTTTTTTTTTTCTTTTTCGACAAGAGATATAAAGTTTAAAAGGTAGGAAATATGATAAGCAATGCATTTTTTTTTCCTTGGTTTGATAAATAATCTAATGACTCATTAAAAAAAATAATTAAAAAAAAACAAATGTGGGGTTCAAAAAGGTATATCTCATTGTATTTTAAAAAGGTTAATATATGACTTTTGTAACTTATTAGAATTCCCGCTCTCCATTATGAAACACAATTTTTTGGAGGATTTTATTTTAATAATCAATTGCAATTTTCCCAAAATTTAATGTAAATATTATTATTATTATTTACAAAAAAAAAAATTACTTTTAATTTTAAAATAAAAAAAATACCACCAAATCATAAGCTTGATGAAAAATTGCGAAACATACGTTATTTAATTAAAGTTCAAAAAATGTTATGTAATAAAAAACCACCATAAATAAATAAATAAGTAAATAAACGATATTTAATTAAAGTCTTACTTTAATACAAAGTCTAAAATAACCGCAATCTCAACCGTCAATGGGCATATTCACTCGCATATTAATACTCTCAAATCCCTCTTCGTAAATCTCAAATTAAAGCAAGGGTATTTAGGGAATTCAGTACACAATTTATTTCGTGACATCTCTAACAACCTGATGAAACAAAAACGCATAGTCGCCGTTGGATCATTATGATGATCGATGGACGGTCACAAATCAAAAGATTGACTAATAGTACGAGTGAGGTTAGAATGATTGGATTGAGATAGCGACTTTGACCGGAGAAGTGTTTTTAAAAAACGTTTTAGAGAGAGAAAGTGAGAGGTGTGAGGGTTGAATTTGTCTTTTTCGCAAGTTCTTCTCTGTTCAACGCAGAAGAGAGAGAAACAGGAGAACTCTCTCTCTCCTCTGAAACCTGAAGACGATATTTTTTTGGGAGAGAGAAAGAAAAATTAGGGTTTCGTTTTTGGAATCACAATGAATGTCATGCGTCGCCTCAAGAGCATTGCTTCTGGTCGCTCTTCTGTTTCGGATCCTGTAAATCTCTCTCTCTTTTCATTTATATGCGAGCATATATATATATATATATATATATAAAATGACATGAAAAAAAGAAAAAGAAATTATGAATATTCTCTGGAAATTAACAATTTACCTCAGCTTAGCTAATAGTTCTCAACATTTTTCTCAGCAACCAAACATGTCTCTACCACGCTAGTTTACTTGCATATAATATATATCATGGTCATGGTCATCATCATTTGTTCCGATTGGTGATCTCTGTTCTAGAATATTTGTGTGAGGTTATTGGATTATAGCTTTTCTTTTAGATGAATTTTATTTTAATTCAGTTGGCTCTTTTGTGTGACTTTTCATTCTTATGTGTGACTTTTCATTCTTACATTGTTTATACTCTTTTCACATTAATTATTTGCTGAACAGGTGTTTTATTTATATGCATTTGGATGTTTGTAGAACTTTAGTTATAAACATATACGTTATAATATGCATATGTTGATATACGTATGTAGATGTATGCATATTGTCTATATGTATATGTGCATAGTGTAGCTGTTTTGATTTATGGGTTCGCGTAGGCTTTGCAATTTGTTTCTCAATTATTTGAACTGCAAAATGGTTTGGAGGCACAATCTACATTGTGATTGTTGGGACTTGGGGAGATGTTAGTGTGCAGAAAGCTAACAGTTTGCATGGTTTAGGGCGTGCTTTGTTCAGTTTTCTGAGAACATTATTCTGTTTTATGAGAATTATATATCAGAAAATTAAACAAAAATCTGTCTGGTTGACAATTTTTGAGAACTGTTTTATGAAAATTTAAAAAAAGGCATGTTTTTAAAAAACTATCTTTTATAGTTCTCTGAAAACAGTTTTCTATTTTATGAGTTCTTGAGAATTAATTTCTGTTTTCTAAGAAAGAAACCAGAAATTGTACAAAAATCTGCAGTTTCTGAAAACTGTTTTACGAAAACTCAGTTAAAAAAAGGCACGTTTTCATAGAACTGTCAGAAATCTTGAGAACTTTTATCCTAAGTGACAAACCAAGCAAGCCCTAGTTGAATGAAAACAATAAGGAATTGTCTGATCGATAGTTTTTGGAAAATGTTTTTTGAAGCCTGAGTTATTGAAAATTGTTTTAGAGAACTGAACCAAAAATGTCACAAGAGTTGTTTCAATGGTGCTATTTTTATAGTTATTGCATAGAAGATAAGCTATACATGCTGTAAAAGCCATTGATGTTATGCATTAGTTCATTTTAAACTCTGTAACCAACAATGATCATAATTCACTTTGTAATGTATTATAGGCAATTGAGTTGCATCATTTGGTATTTATGTGCATTAGGTGAAACATTAATTTTAGTGTGCTCAATTTATAGGGGTTTGCTTGCTTCTAAATCAACACGTTGTGGTTTCTTATTTTGTATTTACCTTTTGTGTTTCTTATATGTTTGGATACGAGTATACGACTTATGGATAGGCTCGGGCATGGCCTAATGTCATAAAATTGTTTGATATTAGAGAGCAGTGAAGAAAGGGAATATAATGAATTTCATATATGTTTCTAGAGTGGATCTTCATTGATTGTTTGTTCCTGAGAGACCTTATATGAACATTCATATATTCAGATATGAATGTAAGTTGGGATGACTTTGTCTTTTTTGAATGTGGAACAAGCAATCAAAGAAGATCCACTCAAGAGGGGTCCATAGGATTAGAATTGCAGGATCGGATTAAGAATCTTAAGATTCTATAAAAAGATTAGAACAGTAACTCAAACTAACTTTATAAATTATTATTGATATAAGTAGAGAATAAGGCTAAATATCCAAATTAGACAATCTAGCAAAATTAATTAACATTGAAAGATACTAAGACACATGACAAACACTTAAAATCAGCATAACAATCGAGCAAAATCTCACAGACAAAATTAAAGCCTAGTAGAGAGAGAAAAGTACAATTTAGTTACCTAATTGTGAGCAATTTAGTTGAAAGGGTTACTTTTTGGTTTTTTAAAAAAGGAACAAAATAGATATAGAAAGAACAAGGGAAAAAAAATGAAGTCTTTCTTTTATTTTTTGTTTCAGAATTGACAGAGAATAGGTAGAAAAATAAAATTCTTTTTGTTCTTTGTACTGAAAAAGAAAGAAGAAAAGAGAAATTAGGAAGAATATAATAAAATAGAGGGAAATTTTGAACCATACCTTTGAAATTCAGAGTTGATTGTCTCTACATTTGATGTTCATTTCTTTGTTTTTATTTTATTTTAATTTTTTAATGTAATTGGGCTAAACTGTTGGACGTTATATTTAAAATGATTAAATTTGTTAGTCCAAAATTAATTGTAGGTCCAAATAAATCCGGAAGAAGAAAAAAAATAACACGATTTAGTAGAATTGGTAGGATCAGAGATTTTGAATGGGATCGGGATCAGTTTGGCTATTTCGAATCGTAAGATTCTAAGATCCAGAATCGGGATTTTAATAGGGTCATCCACTCTAAAAGCATATATGAAATTCATTATGTTTCCATTCTCCACTGCTCTCTATACTAAACAATTTTATGACATTGGTCCATTCCCGAGCCTATCCATAAGTCATATACTTGTATCTAAACATAGGAGCAACACAAAAAATAAATGCAAAATAAGAAATCATAACATGTTGATTTAGAAGCAAGAAAACCACTATAAACTGAGCACACTAAATGGACTCTACAGCTTTCGCAGCATGTATAGCTTATATTCTATGCAATAAATATTGTAATAGCGCTATTTGCACAAACTCTTAGGACATGTTTGGTTCAGTTCTTTACGACAATTTTCAATAACTCTGTCTTTAGAAAACATTTTCCGAAAACTGTCAACCGGACGAATTTTGAACTAATTTCTGTTTTTCGGTAGTCTGCTAACAGAAAACTAATCCGAGCAGACTTTTCGCTTCCTGCACATCAACTCCAATTCGAACTTTTGACCTGCTAAAGAGAATTTCAATTTATTTTCTTTTAGGGTGGGGATTCTGGCATAAAAAGGGTCAAGGTTGACCAAGAAACAGATCAGAAGGTTACTGGTGAATCACAATCCATGGAGAAATGTTTCACCGGTCCAGAGCAGCATATGGCTTCTACATCTCTGGAAACTGCCACAAGCTCATCCCATGTATCTTCTATTGCTAAAACTGACAAATCTGGTTATGATGAGCTTCCCAAAGAAATGCATGAAATGAAAATCAGAGATGATAAAACTGATAACTATGATGATAAGGTAATAGGTCATTGTTGATTCATTGTTCATTTTTTATTCTTATATTTTTTTGTCTTTTGGCTGTTTTCTTTTCTTGTTAGAGGTTAGAAACTTCCCATACCTGTAGTGTCACTAACTTTGATTTACATCATGTAGGAAATGGAAACTGCTATTGTTAGTGGTAGTGGAACAGAAACAGGTCAGATAATTTCCACAACAATAGGTGGTCGAAATGGACAACAAAAACAGGTTATTTGATTTCCCTGGTTGTACGTTGCTACAATTCATAGGACCACTGTTCTCTTCCCTCCTTTTGTTTGCCAGCATTTCTGTTTGGAAATATTTTTTATTTATTTTAATATTTTATGCTTGGGTCTATAACTGCAATCACGGCTCTATAATCCTCATACTTGAGCTGACTGCTGCCTAGGGTTGTTAGTTCTCCTTAATAAGTTCATATTCCGCAAAAATAGCCTATTAAAAGTGTTTTTTTTTTTCCTTTAATGTGGTCCACAGACAATCTCATACATGGCAGAGCGTGTGGTTGGCACTGGTTCATTTGGCGTCGTCTATCAGGTACTAGTAATTGTTTGGCATGTGTCTGCACGAAAACCTGAGGTTTTGGTTACCCAGATACTGTTGTTAATACGGTTCATTATACGTTTTATTATTTGTATGTTTTAGGCAAAATGCCTGGAAACCGGTGAAACTGTCGCAATAAAGAAGGTGCTGCAGGATAAGCGATACAAAAACAGAGAACTCCAGATTATGCGCTTGCTTGACCATCCTAATGTTGTTCAACTAAAGCACTGTTTCTTTTCAACTACTGAAAAAGATGAGGTGTACCTAAATCTTGCTTTAGAATATGTATCCGAAACTGTCCACCGAGTCTCAAGACACTATAGCAGGATTAGCCAATATATGCCTATTATTTATGTACAGCTGTATACATACCAGGTGAATTTGAAATTCTGCTTTTATTTATATTCTAGTTCAATTTTTCTGTGGCTTCCAAGGGGAAGAGAAGGAGGGGGGGTTCCTTCTACCTACATTTCTATTTTCAGCCTACATGTTCTTGATTTTGACGATAAATTGTTCTTTGTGTTATATTTTCTCTTTTGTAGATTTGTCGTGCTCTTAATTACATCCACAATGTTATTGGTGTATGTCATCGTGATATCAAACCACAGAATCTGTTGGTAAGATTTCATACCCTTGTGTATCAATTATCATTATAAAGGGATATTTCAATCCCAGTTATTCTATCTTCTTTAGCACTCTGGTTTGTGGATTGAAATTATAGACTTCTAGTGGATTTTGGACGGCATGTTAGGGCTGATGTTAACTTATTCTCTCACTCCTTTTTTAGTGTTTTGATATTTGCATTTTGTGCCCTGAAAGAACCTGCCAGCATTTTGTGAAACATAAAAAACATGTCTCCCATCCCCCTTTCTTCCTTCTCTTTCTTTTTGTGTGTGCACATGCTGTTTGTTTTGTACTGTATTATTACATATTAGATATAAGTCTGTATTGTACAACTTTTTTGTAAAAAAAAATATTTTAAAAAATCCTGTTGGAGTTATTATAGTATATGTGGCTTGTGTCTTCAACAATCTTCAATCACCATCTTATATGCAACAACAGAAAATGATTGTCTTTGAGGTATTACACAGTTGGGATAACCGACATTGAATGGCTGTACGGTGTTTAGTGCGACCTATGCCGAGGGTTGGTTTAACAATGCCATTATATTTTTATGAGATACCTGCTGCCCAAACGTGCGAGTTGGTCGATGCTGTGCATCAAAATTTATGGCATCGCATCACTTTTGAGAATAAAGCCATTTTTTTCTTCTGAAAAGCATTTGAAATGTATGTAAGCAATGATTATTTTGGAAAGAAGAATAAAAAACAGTAACTTTGACAAACACATGCATCCATCTCTCTATTTGGGTTGCTTGCTGTTTTAAAACATTAATGCTTTGCATAACAATCAAAGCCCATTTCTGTGCTCAACTCAACAAAGTCTTTTCTCAACTTCTTGAGGTCGGCTACGTGAATCCTACTTTTCTGTTTTGTTTTAAGGCCACAGTCTTAATCAAACCACATGTTGTCGTAAATTTCCTTACTAACTCTATATCTGTTAGTTTTGGTCTTCACCTTCCCCTAGCATTTACTTTCACCGTGGACCATGTTACTCTTCCTAATTGGTACACTTGGTGTTCTTTGCACATGTCCAAACCATATTAATAAGTTTTCTCTCATTTTATCTTCAATTGGTGCTACTTTAACCATCTCATGAATGTGTTTATTTCTAATTATATCTTCTTTTTTGTCTTGACGCACATCCGTCTCAACATTTACATTACTGCCACTCACTTTATGCATTTGTTGTTTCTTATCTGTCCAAAATTCTATCCCATAAAAATAATTGAGCTAATAGTTGTCTTATAGAACTTCCCTTTCAATCTTTCAGAGATACACGCCAATGGCATAATATACTAGAAGCATTCCTCCACTTAACTCATATTGCCTTGATTCTATTATTTCCGAAACCATGATATATATATATATATATATATATATATTGAAGTGGTTTGATTTGTGTACTGTTTCTGCATTTTTGTGGTAAAAGCATTGTTACTTGGTAAAATGGTGATGGTTCTAGTAGTTTGAAGTTTACATAACCCACAATCATGATTCTGTTTAGTTGAAATCTTGTAATGTTTTTGGGATATGTCCTATATCAAGTCATTTTCATGATACCTTAAATCCCCAACCTCAAATCCCAAAAGATTTGTTTATGTGTTTCCAAGGTGTATTTAATTGAAGTTTGATGCTTGCTGCAGGTTAATTCCCACACCCACCAGCTAAAACTATGCGATTTTGGGAGTGCAAAGATGTTGGTATGTCTGCACATCTTGAAATTCGAGGTTGCCTTATGATATAGCAAATTTGAGATTTATTTCCCCTGTTGTAGGTGCCTGGTGAACCCAACATATCATATATTTGCTCGCGCTATTATAGGGCTCCAGAACTGATCTTTGGGGCTTCAGAATATACAACTGCAATTGATATGTGGTCTGTTGGTTGTGTTTTGGCTGAACTACTTCTGGGACAGGTGGGTGTATATCTTGACTTACCTTTAGCAGTGATATAGCTAAATTTCAAACATCAACAATTTTGTTAGGCATTTAGTTGATGCAAGAGGTTCCACTTCATCTCACAGGAACGCAGTTGGATCATGCTGATAGACATGTTGTTTGTGCCAACTACGACTCATTTAGTTATTTAAATACTTCGCTTTGCCTTTTTTGAAATTATGAAATTTGGTAGTAGTCTTATGGTCTTGGTGCATGGCAGTGTGGATATTTATAATCTATCATCCTACATGTAACTTCAAAATTCTAGTATGTTATGACCTTATCAGCGTCTATTATATTAAGCATCCCTTGACGGAATTGGGACATCCATTTTTCATCGTTATGCTTTTGGAACTTCATTTTCAATTGTGAACATGAAGTTAGGTTCTGATGTGTATTGGACATTGCATTATGTGCAGCCGCTGTTTCCGGGGGAAAGTGGGGTTGACCAGCTGGTGGAAATTATTAAGGTTCAAGTGATTTCTTATTTATTTATCTGCTGTTATTATATTCTTTATTGGGAGCATTCTCTTAGTATTTCTTCCCCGTGTTTTTTGTGGTGTTCTATGTTAGATTCTGGGGACACCTACCAGAGAGGAAATTAAGTGCATGAATCCAAATTACACCGAATTTAAGTTTCCTCAGATTAAAGCTCACCCATGGCACAAGGTTTGTTGACAATTCTCTTACAAGGATGCTGCTTCAGCTGATCTTGATTGATGTTGGGTGCATTATTCTGTGACAACCAAAATCTTACATACTCTTATTTTCTAGCTATTTCACAAGCGAATGCCACCTGAAGCAGTGGATCTTGTATCAAGGATGCTCCAGTATTCACCAAATCTACGTTGCACTGCTGTAAGAAATTTAAGTTTTTTTCTTGTTCCACTGTGTAATCGATTGCTGCTTAAACCAGTTATTGTCATAGCATGAGTTGGTATTGTTGGTCCTTACTCGAGGGAGCCATATATATGCTAGTCAAATTTGATCAATATAGTTTGGATATACCTTTTGGTTGTATATTACCTCTCCTGTTGCATAAATCTTTTTGAATTGTTGAAGAAATTGTGAAGTGAGGTTCACTCAGACTTTTTCAGTAAGTAAAAAAACTCAATCCTTAATTTCAGTTGGAGGCTTGTGCGCACTCCTTTTTTGACGATTTGAGGGATCCAAATGTAAGCTTGCCAAACGATCGGCCCCTTCCTCCTCTATTCAACTTCACACCTCAAGGTGAGTGCTGTGTTCTTTTCCTGTGTTTTCTTTTGTGGCTTGATAATTCTTCTCTTTCTGATCAAGCCAAGCCTTTTCCAGAGCTCTCTGGTGCTTCTCCTGAGCTTTGTGAACGTCTCATTCCCGAGCATGCAAAGAAATGAAGTTGTGAAACAGGCAAAGATTTTGCATCTGGAGGCAAATGATCAAACGGGTTTTTGGATTGCTTAGTTCCCCACATGAGACATGCTACAAATGCCGAACTAGTCTGTTGAGGCACACCATCGTGGCCTTCCACAGAGCGGTTTTGATGAAATTGAGTGACTTAAAAAATGAGTTTATGGGGATGCAGGTTGCTCAGTAAGGTGGTCTTCACAAAGGATGTGTCGGCAGAGTTGCGAAGCGCATGGAGTGGAGCTGCTCGGCGATGAGGTTCCAACACTCGCTCGATATATTTTCAATGTGTTATTGTTTTATGCTTTTGACTGTTACAGATGAGTTGTCACAGTTGTCATTCTCTGTAATGTAGTAGTTACGTATCCAGTTAGTGTATACTGGTTTGTTGACATTTTGGTGTTGAATGAGTGCGAGTTTGTCATGGCCTAACCCCTTTGAAATACTACTACTATGGTACTACCATTCTTTTGTAGGTAAGAAAAACACAGCATCATCATTATTGGGGGACTAAATATCCCCGAGACTTCTCTCAACGGAAAGGACACGTCTAGGCAAATGTGATGATTGATGAATTAGCATTTTTATTTGTGTTGAAATTTATTTCAATTAAAAGATGTTTTTGATCATATGGTAGAAAATCGTGACCACCCCCATATGAATGGTGATATAATCTAACCTCGTATTTGTAAATATATTAATATAATGTCGTGTCATTTTTTGAGTCGAAATTTAACTGTCCCATCGTTAATGGACCAAAGACTTCATCCCAAGGCGTGGACTCTCGTACTAGCGTTCTCACTAATGTTTTAATTAAAAATTGAATTCTGGATCAAACACCAAACCATACACCTAAAGTGCCCCATCCATTTTTATTGAATAATTAAAAAAATATATATCAAATAACTAAAGGTCACATCCATAAATTCGCTTCATAAAAAATAAATAAAATTACTTCATGTCTCATATTATTATTATTATTTTTTTTGTCAAGCCTCATATTGTATTTGACCCTTGTAAAAATATATATGAAAGAATACTTAGATCCTCCTTATCTTCATTTACACTATAGTTACTGCTAATATGGATCAATAATAAATGAATTTATTTTTAATTTTGTAAGTGATATCTATTTATCATATTTGATTTAATAATAATTAAAGATGATATGTCCATTTATTATTGATACACATTAACCGTGGGTATAGTGTAGATCGCATTAGTTAAAACCTAAGTATTATTCATATATATTTACTTTTGAAACACTGATATGGACCAATAATAAATGAATACATTCTATTTTAATTTAATAATTAAAAATAACATATTAATTTATTATTAGTCCATATAGTGTAGATCTCATTATTTAGGACCTAAATATTATTCTATTATGCCAACTCATCAAAACATAATCCAAACAAATAAAGAATATTAGCTAGCTTTGAAATTGAATCGTTATTAAAATCAACATTCGATTACTGGTTTTTACCTTGACCTTATCCTTGTTAGTAGGATTATATACAACTTTTTCTGAAAAGGTCGGTCCAAATGTAAACTAGATTTGGGATCAATAATACCAAACCGGAACACCGGTCACGACTCCACTGGAAGCCCTATCTGCCGCCGGAGTCGCCATCCACGGCCGCGAGCATGATGCGGCACAACTGGAACTGGAATTTTCTGGCCCATTCGTTTTCACCGACAGATTAATAATCCCGTTCCGCTCCCCATTACCATCCCTCAACCTATAACTCAAGAAGTGCAAGTAGTTGTCCGGCGTGTAACCTCCGACGAAGTCAGTCGCAGGAATCCTCGCCGCCCCAATCAACTTATCGCCGGAACCAGTCCTGCAATGCACCTCCACCGTCACGAACCGCGCGTGAACCGGCATGTCCACCGCCAGCTTGTCGTTCCACACCGGGTAGCTTCCGCCTTCGGTGTCGAGCCTCGACGTTTGTGCCTTACCGGAGTCGGTTCGGACCACGACGAAAGCGTTTTTCTTCACCGATCGTTTTCGATCCGTACGTAGACCCTCGCCGGAGATCACCGTGATTTCAATCGCGCGTGACATTGTCGACATATATCAGGGGTTTATATATGTGCCCTTATTGATGATTGAATGTTTATGGGGGTTATGGAATATGGATCTGAATATGTGACTGTGTGTATTTATAAAGGGTTTTTGAAGGAAACTGGAGGGAAATAAGAGAGAAGGAGAGAGGAAGGTAGAGAGAGAAAGAGAGGATGTTTCTAAATTTACTGTCTCACACGTAGTAGATGAATTCAAGTTTGGCGTGTGGTTTGTTTGCTTTTGATTTGTTCAAAGTATTGCCAATCCAGCAAACACTTTTAGTGCGTATAAAGCACGCTCTGTATTTATTGTAGTAATAATTATATATGTTACTAATATTTTAATTTTATTAAAATACATCAATTAAATAAATTTATCATTAATTTTATTAAAAATTAAACATTCATTTTAATAAAATAATTTGTTAAATAATTAAAGGTACAAATGGCATTTTACATTTATGGAAAAGAATATGTTTCTTTGGCCTCTAATTTGGAGGGATGAAAAGAATGAGTCAAAGGAATATTTCATCATACTTTCCTCGTTTTTTCCTTTGAATTAAATAAGGTCTAGAATTTGAGTCAAGTTAGAAATAAAATTGTACGTGTCAATAAATTTCTTTCCTTTTTTTTCTTTTAATTAAATAAAGCATTAAAGTAGAAGATTGATAAAGATAAATAAAGAAATTGTTTTCAAGTGTTACCTCCTTAACTTTAATAAAAATTAAATAATCATTCTAAACTTAGTAAAGTTTAACAAACTAATTTGGTAAATAATTAAAGGGTAAAAAATGGTATTTCACATTTATAGAGAAATTTTTCTCTGTTTTCTTTAATTTTTGGAAGGATGAAAGGAGATGCTTTGTGCAACTTTCCTCGATACTTCCTTCCAGCTAAAAATAAAGTTTCCAAAGTACCCAATTTATTATGAGACAGAGTCACAGAGGGGGTATACTTCCCGCCTCCTAACCCATAAGTAGAAAATTCCTTCTACCTGATCCAATAAAGTTGACACCTATATGTAAATTATGTAATATTAAAAAAAAAAATCAAATTGAAACAAATTCACTCTTAGTATATATATATTAGTCTAACTAGGACATAACATGTAACAAATTCAATGCATAATCCATAAAATACATACTTAGGTTCAGTCAATCATGTGTTGAGCATGAGGATATGTGTCTAACAAGCAAATTTGATTATTTAAATTTATTAATACCTCTACATAAACTTATTTGATTCATAACACGTGAAATAAGTAACCTAAAAGAGATTTTAGAAATATGAACGTATGAATATTTGGTGTTATTGTATATTTGAATTAAAGATTTCGATAAAGGTTGATTTATAATCACACTTGATGTATTTAAACAATTAGTAGTTAATTATTCTTACAAATCCTAATGTTCACCAACTTTGATTAATGGAAGCAGAAACCTGTTACCAAACTATGAACATATACGTGACGTAATGGACGTACGTGATGTATGATGTATCTAATTAATCTATAATTAAAAACGTACTTTGTGCGCTTTGACAAATAGAAGAATTATTTGAATATTCTGTGCTTTGGCGGCTTTATGGATTCCGAAGACAACGATTTATGACCCTGTCAACGGTACAAGAGCGCAGTTTCTAGTATATTTCTTCTCCATACATGCCATAACATGGCCGTTGTTTACCATTCTCTTCCGGGTTCATTCCCAGAAACAAGTCGCCAGTTTCCACTCATTTTCTGCCCATGCTTCTTCATCTATTCTCAATCCATAAATCCGCGCGCGTAATGTGTGCGTGTTTATATATATATATATATATATATATATATATGAATTATATATTGATGTAATATAGGCTATAGCTGTTCTTGTGTTCTGTACCATTTTGGAATGTAAAATAGTTGCTCAATGGTCTAGGCGTTCCTAAGAACTAGAGGTGCACAAAAAATCATTAGAACTTGTATGAACTTAACTGAATCGTCACTTCACTTCTTTTACAATTTTGTTCTGATTTCAAATCATTGATTTACAGCTCCAATTCTAAGTCCGTTAGAGAGAATGATTCTTTATCTAATGATATATGTTCTGGCACCCATTGTTATTTTGCATTTGCATTTTCGTTTTCAAATAATGTTTTTGTAGCAGTCTGTTCATCTGTGAATGGAAGTATATTTGAAACTTAAAATTAGTTGCAAGATTTTTTAAAGTAAAAACATAAAAATATGTTTAATAGTGTCAAAGTACTAGTACTACCATTGAGGGACAATATGGCTAGTAATTAAAAGGCTGTGTTTTTTTTTTTTTTTTTCAATTTTTGGGGGAGTATACCACTATAGGAAATAACGCAATAGTAGCAATTTCCAAACACGGTCAAAGTCTACAGTCTTCGTAACTTAGTGTAATTGTAGGGCCCTTAACTATAATTTTAGTAGTCAAACACCATTTATTAAAAAATTCAAGTTATTCGGTAGTGTTACGTATTCATCCATTTATACTTATGTTATTTTTCATTTGAATCTAATATAGGACAACTCTCCCTTTATAACGTTTTCTCCCATTCGAATCCGCGCAACGCCCTAGTTACGGTCGGACCACCTTACCTACTCGGTGTGAAGACCTAAACGCTTGATATCAACTGTAACTGGTGAGTGCTTGCCCATTTATCCAGAAACTTAAGCGGTTAGATAGTGCTGCATACCCACTTATTTATACCCTTATCACTTCCCATCCTGTTCCTATTTAGGACAAGTCTCCTCTTATAAGTTTATAACAGTTAAGTACTTCACTACTACTTTCTTAACTTCCAAGGTGAAATGTTTAAATTCAAGGCAAGTCTCTCAAAAACATTGCAGAGTTCACACTAGAGACCAGAGAGAATGATATATAGTGTATAATAGCTAAAGCTCTTGTCTATCAATTTGTTTTAGTTCTCATATTGCATTGATATAAATATTTACAGATCCAGAGATATATTATCACATGCCACTTCATCAAAACATAACCCAAATGATTTTCATTGCTTGGCTTGCTTTGAAAGAAAGGTATGTTGAGAACCCTTGATATTTCTGCCACAGGCTACTAATTACAGTACTACCCCCAATCCTTTGGATCATCTCTTTTTTCAGATGCCAATACACAAAACTACTTTGAAATACTGCCAACACCTCACTAGATTTGATATCAATAATACCAAACTGGAATGCCTGTCAAGGCTCCACCAGAAACCTTATCCGCTGCCGGAGCCGCCATCCACGGCCGCGAGCACGAAGCCGCACAACTCGAATTTTCCGGCACCTTCATTCTCACCGACAGATTAATAATCCCGTTCCGCTCGCCACTGACATCCCTCAACCTGTAACTCAAGAAGTGCAGGTAGTTATCCGGAATGTAACCTCCGACGAAGTCCGACTCCGGAATTCTCGCAATCCCAATCACTTTGTTGCCGGAACTAGTCTTGCATTGCACCTCCACCGTCATGAACCGCGAGTGAACCGGTATGTCCACTACCAGCTTCTCATTCCACACAGGGTAGCTTCCGCCTTCGGTGTCGAGCCTCGTTGCTTCGGCCTTACCGGAGTCGGTCCGGACTACGACGAAAGCATTTTTCTTCACCGGATGTTTTGGATCCACTCGTAGTCCTTCACCGGAGATCACCGTGATTTCTATCGAGCGTGACATTGTTTGTTGATTATTGTCTGAATGTTTGAGCGGAGTTGTTTATCTGTGTGTGTATGTATATATAAGGGTTTTGAAGGAAGTGGAAGGGAAAGAAGAGAGAAAGAAAGAGAAGGGTTTTGAAGGAAGTGGGAGGGAAAGAAGAGAGAAAGAAGGAGGAGGTTTCGAGAAAGTGGGAGGCTGTTTCTGTTTGCAGTATGATTTTGATTAGTTCAAACTTTTAGAAATCCCACCCGCATTTATAGAGCGTGAGTGTATGCTTTACTTTACATCAATTAAACGAATGTAAGGTAAAGGACAACTACACCCATGGTTGGATAAAAGAAAAACTTATCTATTTTTGGACAAAGGCACCCATGTACATAAAAAATTGATCAAATTACCCTTTGACCATTTAAAAGACTTTTTAAACTTTATAATTTAATAAATTTGACCAATCTACCTTCGAATAATTTATGCATAAAAAAAAGTAAAAAAAAAAACTTTATATTGTTCACTTTTTTTATTTTTTTATTTTTTATTTATTTTGGTTATCTACTTTATAAATGTTCCAACTTCATAAAAATGTAGACGTCTAAAATGATTTTTTGATTCAATACATATATTTCAAATAAAATATATTTTGTTATTTCTTCTTTTCTTTTTCTTTTTTATTAAGAAGTTAGGAAATTTATAAAGTAAATAACAAATTTTTTTTTTGGTTACTTTTTTTTATGCATAAATTGTTCACGAGAATAGATTGGTCCAATTTATTAAATTATAAAGTTAAAAAAGTCTCCTAAACAGTTAAAGGGTAATTTGGTTAATTTCTCATATAAAGGAGGTGTCTTTATTTATTTTTGAACTTTCAAGGAGTGTCTTTGTCCAAAAAATAGATAAATTTCATCTTAATGTCTTTTTACTTAATCTCAAGAGATGTAACTGTACTTTATCCATAAATTTATTATATACCCGTTCCCTCAATCTTAATAGAATTTGGTAACCACCTCTGAATTGTGTTACCAAATTCTAAACATCTGGCGTAATGTGCATGATGTATACAATCTACAATTAAACTACAACGTATTAAAAACATAATTCTGACTTGTGACAAATAGTAGAATTATTAGAAATAATAATAATAATAATAATAATATATACACTAGTGGTGGATTTGACTGTTTATCCATTCCATGCTTTGTCAAACATAAAAATTCTGCGATTTGGCGGCTTGTACCTAACTAGAGTAGGTGCATGTGGTTTAATAGAGTTAGGTTCAAATGTTGCGGTCATTTGCTACGGCTGGTCCAAATTTTAAGATCTATATTTTAGAAATCGAATTCAACAGTGTAAGGGTGGCAATTCGTTCTGATGTAAAAGTATCATACTTCCGTTACTAATTAGCTCCTACCTACTCCCTCAATTCTAGAAGGATGATTAGTCATAAATAAAAAAAGCATTCGATAAAATAAGATGCTAACTATTTTGTATAGGTCGAAAACCAAACAAGTCCGGATTAAGTTCAAATAGGTAAATCTAAAATTAGCTCATTTAATAATCATGTCAAGAATCTTCAAAACTAACCCAATTCGTTTATTAAGCAATAAACGCGTTAATCCATTTAATAACTTGTATATTAAAACGAGACATTTAATATTTAATCAAATAATAAATAAATAAATAATTGTCACAATTAACCCAAATATTTAAAATAAAAAGAAAAATCATAAAATATATATAAGGTTTATGTCGAAATGACTTAACTATCTATAGTAATTGAGTTTAAACATGTACATATTGTATATGTTATATTCACGATTATAACATGTTGAGTTAAATAGGTTATAAATGGGTTACACAGGTTAAATCCTTCGACCCTAGTCCGACACGATTAAGTAAACAAATTAATCGTGTCAACCTGTTTATGACCCCAATCCATTTAGAGTCAACCCAAACCCATTTATCGGATTGTGTTGTAATTTGCCTTCCCTAATGATAGGTAATACCAACACAATTAAAGGTGCACCATGGTGCTCTATACGTAAATTAGTGATGGAAATATGATTAGATGCGTAAAAAAGCACATGGGCCTAATTGTACACATGACAACATGTTAGCTAAACTCGGAGAAAAGAGCCGTTACGAAGACGAATTATGACCCTATCAACGGTAAAAGCGCGCGCAGTTTCTAGATATATTTCCTCCAAGCTTCAAAATTGAACATGACATGTTCAAGCGTGTTTACCATTTCTCTTCCGGGTTCATTATGAGAAACAAGTTATGGTTTCCACTCATTTTCTACCCATGCTTGGTTGTTCATCTACTATCTCTCTCTCTCTCTCTCACACACACACACACACCCACACACATAATCTCTCTCTCTATATATTTATTTGAATTATATATGATGTAATTTAGTTGCTCATCTATTGGGTAGTCCCGATTCGGTCACCCGACACCCACATTTATGTCCTCCACATAATTCTTTGATTTTTAATTGATCTTGCCTTAATATGGGTGCCTAAGACCTTCTCATTCATAATCGAATTCCAGAATTTTATTTGGTGGCGCACATTTCGACCTCTTTGTGTAAAAAATAATATTAGTAATATATATATTTTTTATATTTCTATTTAAAAATAATAAAAAGAAAAAGCGGTTGTATTTTACTTATATTTTATATTATAAAAAGTGGAGTTCAAGTGTAATTTATGGGACAATTTTGAGTGTTTTTAACTGAAAATTGTGTCATACACTATACAAGAAATATACAGTATATAACTTTAAAATGTGTTCTCCTCTTTTATAAGGAAGAAAAAGAAGAAAAAAAGAAAAAAAAAAATACAAAACTTATGTCTATTCTAGGACATGTGTTGTCTATTCTAGGACATGTGTATATGTATTGCAAAGAAATAAAACCCTTCAATTTAGGTGGTTTTTTTTTTTTTTTTTTTTTTTTGTTTTTTTTTTTCATACACCTACTTTGCTCTTTTTGAAACTCGAACTCTTATCATACACTTTAGATAGAAATTTACCTTATTTATGTGATATGTATATATATATTTATATATTGTGCATGAGCACATTTAGGAAAATAATTGGTAAGTTATTGGAATGATAGTCAAGTGAGAAAATTAATATTTCCATTGGAAATTGTTTTGTGCCTGCCAGATTCATTGAACACAGACACTAGGTGTTAGTCTGAGGGTGCAACCTAAAGTATTAATTGTATATTACCGACCCTATGGTTTGATCAGCTGGCTTAATTTAGTCAGGCAACTTTGGAAAATTAGGAATATTGTTAATCAATTTCTTGTTGGAGAACAAGAATCATCCACTATTTCAATTTATTTTTGTCTTGTTGAACAACTCACAACCATCGTGTGAGTGCGAGTGCTCACCATTATATCCACCAATAGTAGTGTCCATTGTAGTGTTAGGGCTCCACTTCTCTGAATCACCCAATGAAAATTTTCAAGAGATTGAAGTGTGTCATCCTCACTATTGGCTATTTTTGCTCAACAATATATTGTAAATTGGAGCACTAATAATCCGAATGAATGAATCATTTGAAGTAAAATATTTGGGGAAAAAAATTTGCCACTTGACTTGACATTATTCATATATTTTTTATTTCTTCAAAAAGTCAAGCTAATTGTATTGGTATAGAACCATAGATAGGGATGGGCCACGCCCAAAAAAAGAAAAAGGACGAAGGCCCAAACTGTTCTAGAAGAGCAACACAGCACTACAACAAAGCCCAAAAGCGAGACATGCCCAAGAGCTCAATACAAGATGAATAGTAACGCTCACATCTAACTGTTACTTTGAAATGGACTACGTTTGGCCATGTTTGGATTGGTTTTGAACATCATCAGTTTTAGGCTTTACTTTTAACAATTTTTTTTTGGAATTTGGAATTGGAATTAGAGTGGGGAAAAGGAATTATATTGTAATTAAAATAAGATTTTATTTGCATTTTGAAATAAATTAAAATTTGTAAAAGGGAATTTTAAAAAATAAATAAATTTAGTACTCTTATGCATAAAACCGTATCAAATATGTTAAAGAAAATAGTTTGTCGAACATGATACATAAAGCAGTTTGTATCCATTGTTGGATAATAATTTTGTCAGTTATTAGCAATCAGATTCCTTCAAATTTTTCCTAATTTTGTTATGTTAGCAATTTTTTTTTTTTTGAAATTTCATCATTTTCCATTCTCCTTTAATATCCCAAGGTTCTAAACAAATCAAATTTGTTTTAAAATTCAATTCCCATCAAATCTTGGGATTCCAAACACAACTTTAGGCTTTTCAAGCTCAGTTTGCATAAGATGAAAGTTCGAGAAATGTTGTCCAAATTTTTAGATCATGAATATAATATTGATATTTTTGTACAAAATATTATCAAATATTGATTAGTACGAGTAGTGATACAAATTGATTGATAATTTCAATTAAATTTGAAGTTTGGTGTGGGCAGTGTAGGGGAACTTACTAGATAGATAAGATGACAATTTCATAAAAATCAATGGTGAAACCAAGTAATGACGTCGTATAAGAGCGTTTTATCTATTATTCTGACAAACCTTTATACAAACATTTAATCAAACACTAAATATGCAACATGAGATATTATCTAGTTAAGTACATAAATTTTTTGGCATCAACATAGAAAATTAAAAATAGAAATAAAGGTAAATTGATTTCCAGAACATCAAACTCATTTAAAAAATAAAGCTAATAAACAAACCAAATATGTTCTTACCTAATTGATATTGACGGTAATGAAGCCCCACAAATACTGTAATGGTCAGAATCTGACCACCAAGGCACCTGGAAATCTACCTCAGCCTGTAGCACTGCCACGAGTGTCATGTGAGCAACTTGTCGAAAACTCGTACTGTTACCCATCATGAATCGAAACACCCTATTTTCTTCCCACTCGTGGTCAATAGATGCCCGTGGTAGCCAACGGACTAAATCTGCAAACTCGAAATAGTGTCTGTTTACTAACACTTTCACTTTTTGATTTTTACTATTAATTCCTAAAATTGTGAAGTAAAAGTGAAAACTATATTTACTAATATAATTTTACTTTTCACCTTTTAAAAAGTACTTTCAGATTTAATAAACAAAAGAGAAAGTGAGGATTGGTTACTTTGTCTACTTTC